ATTAAGTTTTACTGTTTACTTGTATTCTTTACACTTTGCAAAAGTGGTGTTCGAGAGATTTGAAGTTTGGTATGGTCATATCCTTAGAAACCATCTACCAGAGGGAGCCCTATTATAGTATATCATTAAGTGCACTTCTATGGAACCAAATTTGGTGACTTAGATTCCTATGATATCCAAGGATTGTGCGCGATGATTATGAGATGTGTGCCTCAGCGACGGTTTCGCTACCTCCTTGGCGCAACTGACGTAGGGCACAGGAAGCTTGGAGCGTTTCCGAAGGAACTGCTATCTTCAGTAGACGTTGTCTTCATCAACAATGATGACACGGTACGTGCCTGGCTGCTATCAAATCCAGTTCTGGAGGACCCTCTAGATCTATTAGTATATTGTTATCATGATGCAGGCGACGCGAGATCTCAAACACCACCATTGAGGGGGGAAACTTACCTTCCCGAAAACGCGGCATTCAACTGGGGCAGGGACGGAGGGGCACACATTGGTCAGATGCATTTCAGGAACCCCGTTTCTATTTTCCTGTGTCTTTTCCCTCCTATGATCCCCCCTGACACAAAAAGGTCAATGGATAGACTCATCAGTTGTTTGCTGTGTTTGATACAGATCTTGCTAATTTCTATCCCAGACTACCAGTATGCTCTTTTCTTCAAAAGTTCTCAAACGCCAAAGCCTTTCCACTGGGTCAATTTCTCAACCCTAATGTGACACCTACCGCCACAGTTACAGCATCGTTTTCCTTCCCATGAGGTTTCTGAGATGATATATTGTGTTACTCCAGAGTCCAGGCGACAGGGGCCCTCCCAATCAAAAGCCCCCTTTCCCCTCCCTCTGTCTTGCCGAAGAAACTCAGTGTTCCCAACCATCCAGGGGCCCAGCGGGGCCCCTGGTGGGAGTGCCAAGAGTCCTACACGAGATGGGATGGCCGGGTGCCCTCCGTCTTGGACGGAGAAAGTACAGGATGGCCGTCTTTAGGTAGGGCAGCGGGGCCTACGAGGTGAAGCAGTGCTGGAAAGGGGGGTGGCGGCCAGGTTCTTGACATCAACCGAAGCGCCCGGTTTCCGTTTGTTTTTGTCACCTGGCCGAGCAGGCAGAAAACCCGGCAATCATTCTCTATTCACAAGACTCCATCTTTTGAGCTGCAACGGCAGATGTTTATTGAAGGGTTGTGCGAGATCCTGTTCTCGTTTCCCCGCAGGATTTCGCGTTCCTTTCATCGGTTTAGGGGGGTTGCGTCCCTGGCTTCCCACGGGATCACAGGTTTGAGACTGGATAGCTTAGGTTTACTTTCGCCGACATCCTTTCTCCACTGTTGGCTGAGGGCTTCGGCTCCTCAGTTTTACATTGATAAGGTTCGAACGCGCGGTCGCTCGTCTTCTCCGCCTCGCTCCTTCGTCTGGCCGTTCCTCGCGATAATAGTCCAGTCACTTACATTTACGGTGTCTTTTGGGTCTCCTCCCCACCCTCGCGTGGTGTGGGGATGGCTTTCACCCTGAGATTTGTCCCCCCCTCCTGGTTTATCTGGGGTGGTGTGGGGTGGTTGGCTCTCGGCTCCCCGGGTGGGGGCTGATGTGTGCCGGCCCGGTTGGGAACTTGGCTGTAGCTGGGGTTGGCGGTCATACCCATTGCAAGTGTGGCACTCCTCCCTGGTGGCTGGGGTCTTGGTCAGGTTGTTACGGGTTGGTGTGGTACCGTACCCGATGTTTCCCCTTGATGGGCGGTCGGCTCTGTGGCGTGGGGATTTTCTACTATGGAAGAGGAGATTGCCAGACAGTATTTAGACCAGATTTGTATTTTTGATTTTATTTTATCACTGTGAGGGTCGCGGGCCGTAACTACCTTCCCCTCACTTAGCAGGACCAAGGACCTCAGTCACTCTGTTCCTGTCTGGTTAGGTGTCGGTTTGTCGGTTGGGGCGAGTGTGATCGGGACTGTTGATGGACTTGTACCTAGCTTTCGTGTTTGCTCGCTCGCGCAGGTGTTGGCTTGTGGTGTTCTTTCAGGGTCACTAACAGGTCTGGCTGGTATGGGTTCGGAGGTTTCTTGGTCTTGTATATTGTTGTTACACAAGCCGGTGTATTGTGGGGACCCCGGCCCCAGGCTGTTCCCTTCGAGTGCAGTTCCGGTCTGCTTGTGGTCCGCTGGAGGCTCGCCTGCCCTTATGGTAGGTGTATGATAGGATGATCGCTCGACTCATAAGCCATGATTTGGCGGTAGCGAGTATAAATAAAATTAGATACAATTCAGACACCTGTACCTAGGAATTACACTCTCTTATACTTCACGTCCTCTGGAACCCCTGAACCCTGACCCTGAACCCCTGACCCCCTGAACCTCATACAACTCACTTCGGTTGTATGCCTGTTCCTAGACCTCGTCTCTGAACTCTCACCTATCCCTGTTGTAGTATGCCTTGGGCTACCCGACCCTCAGACCCTGTCCGTTACATATACCAACTTTTAAATATAATAAATGTGGTAGAACTCTAGAAGGTTATAATATATTAAGATACTCAGAAGAATACATTGTTTATTTCTTATCAGAAATAGTGTCAGCACTAAGATAGGTCTTGATAGCTGAATTACTGGTTTGGTAAATAAGCAGTTTATTATTAATATAGTCTATATCAATATTTTGTACTGCTAGAATGGCTCTTTTGGCTAAAACCTCAATTGACAGATTTAAAGGAGAGGCAAAAAAACTATGTAGGTATATTTCCTCTATTAAACCTTGTATACTATTATCAGAAAGAAGCATTGTTAGATAAAGGATAATATGATTGAGAACAGAAGAAGCCTTAGTTGCAGTTCCAATTTGGAGAATATAATCAGCATATTTTTTTTCTATTATATATGCTTTGACAGTCATGTTGGCATATAACAGACAAATATTTTCCTCTAACTGTAGGACTTGAATCTGAGGCTAGTAGGTAGCATGCATCAAAGTAAAGTTAACAATTTGTGATTGAGAACTACCAGGAACAACTGGAAGACATTGTCTAAAATCTCCAGCAAAAAGCATAGTTATTCCTCTAAAAGGGCAAGAGCCTTGATAAATATCTAATATCCTTAAAACTGCATGATATATATATTTATATTGTATACCAGTTGCTTTATTCGAAATAATAAGTGAGGTTTGAAGAAAAACCTTAGCCTGAGGAGATCCATGATTGATTAAACAAATAGACTGATTGTCTAAAATCAAGGCACTTCAGAAAGTTTAATGTGTTGTTCATTCTTCTTACAGTAGTATTACTGCAATACTGCTAGATGCTACTACTAAAGCAATCTTGCATTAACTTTGAATTTTTGTAAGAATTGTACTCTCCAAAAATGTCTTTCCTGCTCCTCCTGGCCTATTAAGGAAAAACATATCTCCAGTATTAATATCTACTGACCTTAGAACTACTTGAAATACATATCTCTGTACAGAATTTAACTGTAGTTTACATCTCTAAAGCATTCTATTTAACTCTACATGATTTCATGTAGTAACCTATTCTAACGTTGACCACAAAGACTATAGTTTAAGTCAGATAAAGGCAATAGCAATGCAAAGTGATCTAACCAATTACCCAATCAGAGAGTATTTCTTGAAGAAACAATATTGTTCAAGACTATATGTTTGCTTACCTGATGGACTCAGAATTCCCATACTATGTTCTAGTATATACTTATAGTCATCAGACAGAAAATCTCTATATGTCAACCACAAATTGACTGGATGAGAAGGACTTAATTCACACAATATAATTGCAAAGAGATTCTGTAGCTATTTTCCAGTATGAATTAAAGTTCCTTTAGGTAGGGTAACTACCTGTGGCACCTGTATGATAGGATAATTATCTGAGCTCAGGCAGGGTAACCTTTTCATATCTCATTAAGGTAGGGTAACTTTATTCTCCCCTCACATATTACATTTTCTATTTCTAGCATCAAAGCTACCCACTGGCCCCTTACCCTTTCCTTTTTTCCGCTCTGATTTTATTTTCTTCCCCCTCGGTGTCTTTTATCTCCTTCAACCCACCCTAGCTTAGTGCTGTCTTTCCGGGCATTTGTCTCATAGTGCATTTTAGTGCTGTCTCATAGTGCATTTTAGCGCTGTCTTTCCGGGCATTTTGTACTGGCGGTTTTCAGGGGTCTCGAGTACTATAGATACTAATAAGCTGTAAAGCACGCACGTAATATCACTCGGTATTCTTGGTTTCTAAGGTTTCTCTACCGGTAACTTAACTATGAGCGAGCATGACGGCAGCATCTAAAGCATTGAGTGGGTTAAGTGACCCTGATTCGAGGTCTGTGGGTGTGGAGAGGATTCGCTCTTATCCTATCGTAGATTTCATTATCTCTTGGGTCCGACCCCTGATACTTACTCCGAGTCTTTGACTCAAATAATTACCATAACTCCTCCACCGTTCTCTCCCAGAAAACTTCATGTTTTATCGGTTTTGGGTATAATAATGTGGACTTGTAGTAAGATTACGGCAGAAGAAGGGGAAACGATACTGTTTTGACTTGACCCGGCTATTCCGGTAAAGGTAGCCTACCATCCCCGTAGCTTATCTAACCGGAATTGAGCTAGATTGGATTGGGCCCGTGAATTTTGGAAAAGTGCTACAAGGTTGTGATCAACGAAAGTCTGGCTTGCAGTATCTTCAGGCATCACCGTTGACCTCCTTTCTCTGCCCCTCCATCCAAGCTGTCTCCCGGCCTCTCTCCCTCTGTGTCTCTGTCTCCGGTACACTACCCTAGTGGCATCAAGGCTGCGGGCGACCATCACAACAAATTCTTATCACCTCGGAAAAGTCAATTCTCCGCCCTTTTTATTCGCAGGCACCGGGTTCCATGGCTACGGTATGGAAAACAACGCTAAAAATGTCGCCACAAACTCCAACTCAAGCCCTCTCTAATTCGGTTGGTACAGTATGGAAACCCCTAGAAACATACCTCCTCCATGGCGGTAGGTGTCAGTTGAGGTCGTTGGACTTCTGGGATTGTTTGTTGGGCGGTTTTTATAAAGGTATAATCTAGTGTGCTGTGTGCTATAGAGGCTACTTTCCAGGCTGGAGTCCCTGAGCAGGGGGAGGAACATGACTCTGTCCTAGCGCTGGCGGTAAAGGGGGGGGCGGTGTTTGTGTATATGACCTCTGGCGTTTCGGAAAGGGGGCGGTATGGTGGCAATGCCATATCCTGCGTTTTACCCGAAGCTTCTCTGTTATGTTGTTTAATTGGGCTGCATTTGTTTTACGATTCGAGGCCACAAATCTCTCCTCTTCCCCCTCTATTTCCTCGTCGTCTGCTTCTGCTTCCTCCTCCCCCTCCTCGGCATCATTGACCCTACCAACTCAAAGGACTGGCAGTCTAGGCCTGGCGATCCCTTCAACCGCCAAATTCTCTCTACTCGCGCCTACTACGTGGGGGAGTATGCTCCTACCCCTAGAGTTTCCATTCCGGGCAGTACTCGAGCACAAGGCACTTACCATGATTGCCTTCTCATTCATGTTAAATATGGCAACGCGATCCAGCAGCCGTCTCGCCCGAGAGCGGACATGGCTGGGCGGCAGGTTCCCCAGCACAGCCGTCAAGAGTCCCTCCGCGGGGGAGATAAGCCCACGAATCCGCATTGGTCGAGAGTTGATCCCCGATTATGGTGAGAGGAACGAGCTTGTCTGTGTTTCCTTCTCTTTTCCAGCATATTTGCTGCCGTGGTTTCCTGTCAGCTTGGCATGAGGACGATTTTTGGGTCCATCGGGGTTAAGGAAGAGGTCGGTGTAAGTTAGAGCGAGGGCGGGGTTAAATGGACCGAGGCTAACTTACAGTTCGTTCGTCAAGACCTGGTCTGAAGAGGTTTGCGAGTGTGGTGAGGTGGGTATAGACTACCCTTTAGACCTCCATATCAGAGCGATGCTCGGAGTATATAGTGGCCCGCTGTTATGACTAGATTTGCCAACGGAGCGAATGTTCTCCCTAATCGCTCGATGACAGACCATAGGAGGTCTAATGCACATCTTTTCAAGCTCGATAGTCTAACCATTGCCCTTTCTCTCAGGCTTGTCGATCTCGGGATTGGTCCCGGCTGCCTTGCTGGATAATCCGGCCAACCTACCAGGAAGCCCGACAAGCTGCCCTGGTGGTATGATGACCTGCGAACTCCCAGGGTGACAGAGGAATGGCAACAGCAGCCTGAGTAACATCTCCGCTCCGTCGAATGCCTCCGAGATTCCTTTCTCTTCATCCACCCCGATAGTTGACGCACCGGAGACCTCCACACCGTTAATCCGGTGTGGTGCGCTTCAGCCCTACATCTCAGAATCACATTAAATAGCCCATCTATCTCAGAAACCACCGATCTGACAGCACGGGTGAACGATACTGCGGCTGCCACACCTCTGTTTCCCGCTGAGCTCTCACCTCCTTCATTGACTGCGATCCTGATAATGCCTCCGCCGCCATGGGCAGTGTTAAAAAGATGCAATAGACAACAAATCAACGTCCGAGCTCGCTAAGGCCGCTCTGCGGCGACAGCGCCGGAAGCGCAATCTCCTGTGTGGACTCTGCAAACGGACGGAACGTAGCCCGATTATGGTACCGAAGGTCTTTGATCGATTATAATGCCGTAGGAAGCGTTCTCTGCGAAGGCATCGCATCAGAGGACGACGAATTCACTGGCCTGAGTATGTTCAGGGCATTTTTAATGGTGGTCGGCAGATTTGGCCAAACTATCTGACGGATCAAGGCTGGCTTGCCAATTGTGAGGACAGCGTATACGCGGGCCAGTGTAGCAATTGGGTAGCTGGTTACTGGGGGCGGTTCGGGCTTCTAGATCCTCAATTAGCCTCCATCTAACTCTCCAGTCCTCGGAAACTGCATAGTTAGAGCGAAAGTCGAGGGGGCCAACTGTTAATGGCGGGACCATTAATCTAACCCAAACCTCACAGCTCGAGGCCAATTATTCACAATTGCTCTCCTTTGCTACCTTCACCTGAGGTATACCGGACCGGTTATCTATTGACAATTTTCCCTGCAGGAGGGAGGGCGCCCTCGTCCGAAACCCGTGTGAGAACCCGGGCCCCTCTAACCTATCCCTAGTGTATTGCGAAGACGTCAACCGAGAGGCCCAGATTTCGAGGACCGGAGTCATGTACAACTGTGAGCTCATGGAGGCGATGGAGGATGGTGAGGGGAGCTGTGAAATGATAGTCTTTATCACGCGCAGGGTGATCACAGTATGCAGGCTGGTATCCCCGGGGGAAAAAGGCTTCATTTTATGAGTTTGGTTTTGAGTTTTGATGGAGGGCTGGCATACCGGTGTGGCGCGAGAAAGGTCTTAGGGGTTTTCTGGTCATGTCTTCTGGATTTTTTACCTATAGAATTTTCTGTTTGGGATGAGGCTTAGGGCCTGTTTGGCGGGAACGGTAGGCGGGTCGACCGTTCCGTTCGTTGATGATTTTTGCTGGGGAAATGGTTGTCTTGGCATCTTCAGAACTGAAGGAAACGGTCATTTGTATGGGGGAACGGAACGGTTCCGTTCCCGCCAAACAGGCCCTTAGCGGGTGGATGTTTTTCACCTGGAGGCATGGCCTTGCCTTCCTCAGAGAGAGAGGAGGAACGATGCGGAGGAGACCCATCCTGAACAACCACCTCCACCACCTTCTTTTGCTGTTGTTTCTGGGTGCTGTTTAGTGTTGTTCACGAGCCGGCTCGAGCCGAGTCCAGACCTGGACTCGAGCCGCCAAGAGGCTTGAGTCTAAAGTGGCCACGATACCTCTACACACTGCCATTATCACTCAAATCAACCAAAAATTGTATATAGCAACTTGAAAACAAATACAACTAGCCAAATGACCTTCCCACGATCCCCGAGTCCAATTCCTGACTCGAGTCGGCTCGTGGACCCCTGTTCGAGCCGGCTCGCGCCTAGTGACCACCTAGGCTCGAGTCCACTTGGCTCGAGGCCCCCCAGGCTCGAAGGGCTCGAGTCCGCTCGGCTCGTGCACAACACTAGTGCTGTTTTCCCCACTCTTTTCTCTTGCTTTCTCACTGTGTTTTACTGTCGACTTTATCAACATAATTCTACACTCTTATCCTATTCAATATCACGTCGTACGGTCATCACAATTGCACAGGTGTCAGCTCGGTCAATCACACCATCCAAATTAAGGAAGTCAACCGAGACACTTCCACACCGGTACCGGTAGTCGGAGCTTTTATGTCGATTTTCACAGGGAACAAGGCAGAGATAAACTTTAAGCCTCAAGTACCATAACCTTAATCAACTTCATATCATATTCACTAGCTTACGATGCACTTCGATACACCTAGCGAAGAGGTGAAAGATGAGCAGATACATTACCTGTTGATCTGACCTAAGTCATTATATGGTTGCGTGGTGTAGCTGGTTCTACTCCAGGTCCCTTGTGAATTTTCTGTGGCTAAACATAACCAGATAAAATATGACAGGGGCCGAAGACTCCTGGAAGGTTGCCAGACTACGAAAACTTTGTTTCTCCTCTTCATTTTTCCCTCCTTTCCTTCCCTTCGTCTACACCTTTGCCCTTGTGAAGATAATGTTCGAGAGCTTGAAGAACCAGCGGCGTTCTGTCAACAGAAATTGACTATGGATGTTTATGGGCAGATGGAGACATTCCTCGGGTTGCCTCGTGGCATTACTAGGCATCTCTGTTTGTTTGTCCTTTGTGTGTTTGCGGATGGTTTCAGCACCATCCCCCCCCATCTTGCTTTTTTCACCCCATCCGCTTCATCCTGGGCTGTCTATATTTGTGTGAATAAACTTCTGCTTTTCTCTATAGGATATCAGAAAACCATGCATCTATGATGACCCAGTGAAACCATCTATTCCGTCAAGCACGGCGCTATCTACCGCCAGTATGGAAGTCTAACCTTGTTATTTAGCATATACCTCTTCCGTTTTATGTATCTGTTTTCCAGAAACAGCTCCCTACTTATTACCGAGTCCTGTGGCCATATTGGGAGCATCCTGGACCGTTCTAACAATGGTCGAGCGGACCTCTCCAGCTTCCAGGATGAGTAAGCCATAGCTATTGCAGCCTGCTGCAGAGGAAACCCGCTCCCGGATAATTGCCGGATGTTGGCCAACAAAAGCCCTTCTACAGGCACCCTCCATGAATACAATACACCCCCACACACCCAACCGCATCAAAAAATGAACAAACGAATTAACAGGGAATCGAGAGCACAATGCCTTAGTCTACCAGCCATCACCTGCGCCTCCACCCTCGGGAATCCGATCACAGCCCCTCCATCAGCCATGACCTCCACATTAAGAGCGTAGAAAGCAGGATCAGATCCGCGCATGTAGGTGCGAGCACCGCTGAGATCCTAACCGAGCAACAACGAGCAGCCGATCGCCGAAAGTACCTGTATCCAGGAAACTAGATCCTTTCCAGCCGAGGGACTGCGGCCCCTCGCCGTGATGACGCTCACGATTTCGCGCATATACCCCTCATTGATACCCTGACCCTCCCAGAAAAAAAAAGAAACTCCCCTCCAAAGGGTAATAAGTGACAATCGTACCTTTGAAGCGGTACCATACTCCAGTATTTGGCATAGCCCTAACCACCCTAGTATTATCATACCAGGCACCACCTCCTCCAGCGCAGAAACCTCAACCCCAGCAAGAATCCTAGCCAGCAGCTTACCCTCTAATGCCTCGCACATATCCTCCTCCTCGCCCACTTGGCAAGCAGCCTTGGGACGCTTGATGCAGGCGATGGACCTCGTGGGGAGGCAGGTGGGGGTTTTGGAGGCATAGTGGAAGCGCGTAGGGAGGAGGGTAGCGGTCGGTGTCCTAGTACAGGAAGCACCGGGGAGACGGAGGCTATTGAGGTTGGAGGAGATCCCGGAGAGGATGGCGACCCCCATGGTGCCGCATCCGCGGGATGTGAGTGTTAACGATGCTAGGTTTTGTTCCATTTTTGATTTTTGATTATTTTTAAGATACCATTTTTCTGGTTTGCTTTGGGCTCTGTGTTTGTTTGTTTGTTGGTTGGTGGGGTAAGCCAGGTGGGGAGATGGGCGTTATCGATATCGGAGGCCCGGTGGTTACCAACCGATAAGTTACCATATCATCTCATACCGGATGAAGCGGAGAAATTAAAAAAAATATTCGGCATAGCGTCAGGGTTAGGTATTCTCTCCCCAATATCAGAATCACAGGCATACTGTACACGTTTTCGCTGTACGGTAAGGGGAACAAAAGAGGGGTTAAGTGTGCATTACCGATCAATCAGTGTCCAGTACCAGGCTTTTATCGTTTCACTGGTAATTCTCTGAACTTAAAGGAGGGGAGGAGAGAACAAATGAACTCATATTGCGCCAAAGCAACTGGGATCCCGAGATCGCCCAGGTGGTAGATATCATATCTTGCCGACGTCCGTTGGTGTCAACTACGATACAAGTGGTACGCAAGAGATTGACCCATTAGTCTAGGTTTCCGGGCCCTCCCTAGCGGTGCCGCGAACGAGCATGTCAACGGCACCGGAAGCATTGTGTGGGTCATGCTATCGGGATTTGAGGTTTGTGGTGTGGAGAGGATTCGTTGCCTGTGTTACATTTCAATATCTGTTGGGTCCGACCCCCAGATGCGTAGTTATTCTGAGTCTTGCACGGAACTACCATAACTCCTCCACTATCCTGTCCCGGAACTTCATGTATATCGGTTTAGGGCGCCATTATGGGAGCGTGCATGATAAACATTACAGCTGCTGAAGTGAAAATAGTTGTGTAATGACTTGACTTAGCTCCCGCCCGAAAAGGTAGCCTACCATCTCGGTAGCTCATGGGCCCGTGAACTTCGGAAAGGGGCTACAAGGTTCGTGATCGGTGAAACTCGGGCTTGCAGTATCTTCAGGCATCATCGTCGACCTCCTTTCTTTGCCTCTCTTGCAAAGGTGTCTCCCACTCTCTCTAGTACAGTAACCTGGTGGTATCAATCCTGCTGACGACCCACACAAAAAATTCTCCTCGACGCACAAAAAGCCAATTCCCTGCCTCTTTCACCCGCAATCACAAGATGTGATAACCACCACCCCGCAATAGTGTACCGGAAATAGCAGCGAAAATACCACCACGAATTCCAGCTCAAGCCTCAGAGATTCGGCCCCTACGCTGTGGAGACGAATAGAAACATACCTCCTCCGTGAACGAGGAGCACTACCCGCAAGATCCCTTCCATTAACATAATAACCTTTCATCAGTATCAACGAAGATACAATCTCAACAATTACAAAAAACCATGCGTAGCGCAGTCCACTAAACGGGGAACCAATAGGGAAGCCCTCAAGCCCTCAAGCCCCCAACGCACTAGTTGTACTCCTAAATGGGAGTTCCTCGATATGTGGGAACCATAATCTCCCCTAAATAGCTCTAGCGCAAGTGACCCGGCGCATTTTGAGATTTCTCTTTTGCATGGGCTACGCAGTATTAGAACAAATATTTCAGAAAGGGTCTTCACCGGATGAGGATTCGGATATGTCAAAGCAACTTGGAGAGAGAAAGGTGTGTAGTCTGAGCAATAGACTAGAGCAGACGCATATGGGCAGTGTGGGGAAAACAGTTTAAACTAGAATAACTGTTAATAGAGGAATAGCATATTCAGGAGTTGTGGTGACCAAATCTTGATAATTAGCATACAAGCCAACATTAGATTTGGTCCGCACATCAAGCTAACTGCTGGTGCGTATGATTAAAACTGGCTCCGGAAAGGATGCCTGGCCGAGGGTGTAAGGTTAAGTTGTCGGAATGCAAGTACTCGGCTGTCCACTCACTTTTTTCGACACAACAAATTTTCAGCGTAATTGGCTGCTCTCAAATAGCCTGGGACAACGATCGGTCAAATTATTGGTTTTACCACCACTTTTGCGCACAACCCCGTACTATACCTGCAAACCAGCAGTTTTTTCCAGTTCGTAGTTTTCGCCATTTTTGTCATTTTTGCTCGCTTCGGTTCAATACAAAACCGAGTAAAACCAGAAAAACGCCGAAGCGTTAGGCCTCCTAATACCGGTACCCAGGTTCGTCAACCGCCGGTGGTCTTCCTGCCTCTGTAGGTGGCTGTAACGTCCTCAACGCAGTCCTGGATAGCACGATCACTTGGTGGTATTGGGTGAGATTCGGCCTGGTGCAGGGCACGGTTAGTATAAGAGGACTAGGTTTGTCATGATCAGGGAGCGAGTGTGAAGCCCCTCCCGCCCTGCCATTCGCGAATGAAGAACCCACAACCACGCAACCAGCCTGTTAGAGGAGATCTAGAGAAGGGGGGAAAGTGGGTGTGGGGTATCTTATCAAACACCAAACAAGCCCAACCAATAGCGCGATACATGCTGAAGGAGTAGAACAAAGAGTGTTGTTTAAAAGAAGAGCAAGAAAAAACTGTAGTGGGGGGAGGGACAAGTACAACCACCCCTATCCACCAATCCGATCATAAACCAGCATATCCATCGTATTGAAAATCGGCGTACGCCATCACGCCTCCCCAGTGATCTCCGTCCTCAACTTCTATTTCCAATTCCTAAGCCTACACGAAAAGTCCGGCCTCACAAAGAAAGACAACAGCCACGATCACCAAAAAAGACATAACTACCTTCAGATGTAAAAGCTTACCACCAAGGAAGAGGAAAAAAGGAGAAAGGAATTCATGGGACTTGTGTGAAAGAGAAAAGGAAGGAGAAAGAAAGCGCATATAAAACTTTCTCGATTTGGACATACGAAAGTAGGGTCACGTAGTCAGTACTAAACCGGTTTGGAACAGTGGAGGCGAAGAGAAGGAGGGCAAGCAAGATGGAAGTCAGGAAACAACTTCGACACCAGTTATCAAGCAGAAGAAAAGACAAAATGCAATCTGCAATAAGTTTAGGCAGGGGAAACAAGAACGAAAAAGAAAAAACCGGAAAAAAGAGAAAAGGAATGAGGAAAGGAACGAAACCCGCCGATGTCTCGGATGCTGCTCTCGCATCCTGTCTTTTTTTTTATTTAGTTTGTATCTCATCATCAATCAATTGATTATTGGCCTTCCTTAAAGAATGTAGAAAATGTACAGAAAATAACCCCCTTGTGACCAAATTGATGCATCCCCTTTTGCCTTCTTTAGTTTTCTGAACCGCGATAGCCTATCCCCCGAAATCCAAACCCACAACTCGGTTCCTGGGACAGGTTGGATGCTTGGGAAGTCTTCCAAAGAACCAGAAAGTGACTTTACTGTCCTTCCCCCTTTCCTCCCCACCAATCAGAGCACCTTGCTTCTTGGTAGCGTTGTGAAATGTATCCCCGAACTTATCCCAGTGAACCCTAGGAACCTTCCTGCGCTCCATGGTAAATCTCTCGAAATTGGTACGAGCGTAGTCCATCTCCTACAATTCTGTGCTGATAGTGTACACCAATTTCATTAGCTGAGCGTTCCAGATGTCAGAGATGAGGAAGATCGTACCAGCAATACCAGCAATGACAATTGATGGAAGATTCCATTTTGTTGGAGCCATAGGGCAAAAGAAGCTGGTACCCTTCCACAATCTTTCGATGACAATAAAAACCGGGGCCTTTCACGAACCGCATTCCCATATAAACACCCAGGCTAAAAAAACAAAACGATTCTCCTCATGCAAAACAAAAACCACAGCATCAATCACCTCCTCTCTGGTTATAGTAGCGGCGGTCTCGAGTGAATCAAGATCGAGACCAGGAGCATCAAAGCAAAAACCCATCAATCCATTAATGCTTGAAACATACGACGTATTTTGTTGGTACACTTACCAGACCAACTCCACAGAATAACTTACACCACGGCATCATCCCCAACTCACCTTATCCACTGTTTCCAAGAATTTTTAAGAGCAAAGCTCCCCCAACGGTCCCACCGACCTCGTCTGCTTCAATAGCTTTGAGTTCCGCGGGCTTGGCATCGATTGTCCAGCTTACCAGCTTGTCGAAATCCTCTTGGTTTTTCCACTTATTGTAACCCTTAGAAACTTGTGTTGCTCTATGGTTTAATGCGGCGATCATGTGCGGGTGCTCTGCATGTACAGTTAGTCAGAAACCACAAGACTGTATCCAAACAAGTAGCAACAATAATTGAGCCTACCCATCAGCTTGGCCGCATCCTGCCAGCTTAAACCGTATAGCCTGATAAAGGTTGCTTCGCAGGTAATAAGTTGATTTTGGAATAGGCATACATCAGTGACCACGTCACCATTATGCGCCATGATGTTTCCTTTCCGAATTGTGGAGTCATTATCAGAATCCCCTACCCCATCCGTGCGCTTGAATACTGCAAAAAATCGATGCCGGATATCAATAGCAGCAGATTTGAGTGGACGGAGTATCGTAACCTCTTGGCGCAACCGCTCCATCTCCTCTCCAGACTTCCTTGTCTCCTCCCTTAGGTCCTGGACTACACTTTCTATCCTGAGAAAGGAACTCAAAAGTGCACACCCAGTGTCATTTCCGTATGCTGTCAGTGGCGCGCTATGTGATCCTACTTGCCTCAGAGAGACGGTACGAGTTGCTTTGGTCAAAACTCGCTCTGCTGCTTTCACATCACTTCCGCCAACCGGAGCCTCCTGGACGTGTGTATAGATGATAGCTGGTGTCCTCTGGAAATCGTGTATCTAGTTAGTATGGAATTACATGTTTCAGGAGTATGTAGTAAGAATACCTTTCTAATTAAGGTTGCGGTTGGGGAACTAGCAGAGAAAGCCCTCATCAGGTAATGAGGCTTGAACAAAGGAGTCGAGCGGAAAACGGTCGCAACTGGAAACTGCATCATGGAGATTCGAAGCGGAAACAACGTGTTTGACAATTAAATCCAACTCTAGGAAGTCATGTAAAAGCATCTAAGATCCCTTTACTTTGTAAGTAACAGGGACAGCTATCTTATGATAACAAATATTTTGCGAGGACAGAGGAGTGATGGGGGGAGATGAGAACCTCCGATGGAGAGCAAAAGGATTTGAGAAAAAAGGGATTTGAGAAGTACAAGGAGCGAGAGAAGAACCGCCCTGATGGCATTTACTCGTGTCTCCAAGCCAAGAATGGGCACCTCTTCTGGAATAGCCTCCCCAGATCCATTTATGGTAAAGTCTTGATGCTGCTTTCAGAAGAAGTTAAGACACCACCGAGCAGTGGAAATAAATACTATGAATTCACCAATCTCCCCTCCCCCGCCCCCCCCCCCTCCCCAGTAGTGAACTGCCCTATTAGGCATTGAACCTGTTATCACCTCCACAAGCTCGGACTTGTGGAGAGCAATAATGGCACCACGTATAGCCATGGTAAGGCTCTTTCCCTTTGTCATAGCACTGTTCATAGTATCAATTTCTGAATTTGGCGAAACTGAGTGAAAGCACTCACATTGAATGAGAACCAGTCTTGTTTATGGAATTCTGAGAACTTTTATGGTAGTTTTATCGTACATTGATATTACCCCGCCCAGTTACTGGCATCTTGCGTCACTCTCACTGTCTTTCAAATAGCATGAACACTTTACTACTTTTGGGAGCAAATGGTCTATTCCCAATCAGGTGTCCATTCTTGGCTCGGAGACACCAGTAAAAGGGTGGGCTTACTACGTAGCGTCATGAGGACGTGTGTGTGGATAAGCGTACCGTACAGTACAGTACCTACTAGTATCCTTATCTTCCCCGGTAACGTACCTTTCTATCCAGCATGCAGTGGGGGCACCATCCATTGCACACAGTGGATCATCTGAAACCAAAGGGGGGCACTGTCCAGTTCCTATGCAAATGTCTTCAACCTCGCAATTAGATATTCATTAGCCATAATTAGCAGCAATGAGAACAGCGGAGTCCGGTCTTATCACGGCACAAATCACATTGGACGTTAAGGACAGATCCAGCTTTCCCCATCCTGCCCTACCTATTACCGATCACTGTGTTAGTGCTACGCTAAACATAAGTGAACGAGGGTACAGGTTAAGGGATGTGGTATTTGCTCTTTTGGATCCCACGCTATGCACTGGTGCTGAATTTTGCTAGCTTCCAGTGACCACATGAAGCATCCACCCATATCCAGAGTATCAGCATTAGACTCGTAATCCGTGAAAAGCAAAGAACCGGTCTTCGCCCTTCGGGAACAAGTCTCAGCTTCATCCCACCTACGTTAAACCCACTAAGGATTCCAACCATCGTCGCTCTAATCCCTAGCGCCGCAATTAGTTGTGATGAATAACTAAATCCATTTGGGCTGTCCTATATCTCCTTGATGTCAACACGATCCATGGTCTCTCCGACAAACTATAACACCCCCGCACTAAGCGGCTCAAGTGGGTTGAGGGAAGTAGTATGATAGGCTATGATTTATCGTAGAGCTTACAGGAGAGTTGGGCGTATTCTCCACTGTTCTGGAGTAATCATAATTTAAGGGGAAGTTCCTCCAGAGATGTCTTTCCCTAATTGAGATTAAGTATCTTCGGAGTATAAGTGGGAATGGGGACATGCCATGCGGCAAAACTACATTGTGGTGAGACATGGGAGATTAGGATGACTGTATAACCTCTCAGTTGTACGAATGTTTCAATATTTACTTTTAATTTTGACAGGACCCTTAATCATAGGAAGCAGCACATCGCAACTACTTTCCACGGTCATTCCATTGTTCAGGCCCCATTCTACTTGCCCATTCCGAAAGTATTCTTATATCAGGACGCCCTTTAGCAGTGTGGTAGGGGAATTCTTTAGCCCATTCAATTTGAACCTGAAAGCATCTGCAACCTCAAACTGGTGAACTCCCTCGACATCCTTTATAGTGGCTTTGTCAGGGCGCTGTGATGTGCACCGCGCCGGGGATTCAGAAAATGGGGAAACAACTCAAGGCCACTTATTTTCGGGTAAGGCATCGGGGTTTGAAGCGAGATAAACGCGACCCAAGGGTAGCACTAGAGGGGCTCCACACCCTCCGCTATCTCTTCTAACCCCTAACCCCTTCACAGTTTTCCTTTCCACCTAGCTCCAGACATTGCCGGGCACTCGTCATCTTTATCCCATCTTGTGTTTACCCGCCATACAGGCCAACTAAATCCCTTCCCGTAACTGAGTTACGGGGTGTTTGGCACGCCAATTCTTATTTGAAATCATGATTTGAGATCACATCTTGGCAAATTTACTATAGATTATTACTTCCAATTACATGCAGTTAGAGGATTAATGGCGTAAATAATCTAAGTTAAATTTGCCAAGATATGACCTCAAATCGTGATTTCAAATCAGAATGGGCAAGCCAAACACCCCCTTAGTTTCTTTAATTTCTGGGCTTTCCCCATTTTGTCTTTGGACATCACTTTCACTTTTTTCAATCTCTTATGTATCCTTTTCTCAACCTCACGACCACACACCTTTTTTTCAACATCGCTATATCCCGTTCACAGTGCCTATCATTTATCTTCCTTCATTCCGAATCGTGCACATGATGTGGACCTCAGATATCACAGTTTTCTTATTTCTTTTTCCCTAGCCCTGATCGAGAACACATGCGTACTGTACAAAGAAAAAGGAATCCACATGCACAATCCCTGACACTTGGTTCTCTTAGTATTTGACTCTTCCGGCACCCCTGTTATGAGTCCGAAGATGCAGGTACAGTTTGCCTCTCCTAAAAGGGAGCACAGTCAGGGTTGGGTACTATACTTCTATAGATGCTGTTTCGAGGGGTTTTGTTCTCTTGGTTTCTCTAGTGAGTTGTTTTTAGGCTTTCGAGTCCCTTCCTTATTCTTATTATCGGGCCGTTATTGGTCATCCCTGCTCACCACGCGTGCACTCAGTCACGTGCCCGACATAGAATATTTGTGCAATTTCACATCAGAGATGATGCCATGAGAGACTTGCACTCCCGGGATGTGGACTTGGGCAGATCTCACGGTTATGCAGTACAGGAGAGATGGTTGGCTGAATCCGCATTTGGAGTGATTCCTCCTGACATAGCATGATATCTAGATCTTAGCGCTCGTGATTCTCCAACCCAGGAGTATTGACACTGGGCACACAGCTGCTCCTACTGACGGACATGGAAAGATGGGAGAAGTTGCCCGTTCAACCGACGATTCACCGCGGTATTCTGAATGGGCGCTGGCTGAAAGGCATATTCGATAATAAGAAAGTTGAGGGGTCTGCCGCGGATGTGGTTTTCCTTCTAAAACTTCCCAAATTGAAGCTGATTTTTCGTGAGCTTGCCTTTACGGACACATGGAAAAATGGCAGGGTAGAGACCCTAGTTCAGCGGGGACCTGAACGTGGGGCTGTAACGGTAAAGGTACAGAAGGGGTGGCCATAGGCAAAAACATATAAAAAACTTGCTCAAAGGACTTGGATGGTTCCAAACATACTATCTCTATTCCCACGCACGTTCCCACAATAAAAAAGGGAAACAATGACTGGGGGGCTACCTCCGTAAATAACGATAGCTCCAGAACAAATAAAACAACCCACAGTACTCCCAAGGCATGGTGAGGCTTCCGTGGTCACCCTCCACATGCCAATTCCTTCTCCTCTTGGCTTTCATCCCTAATTCCTCCGAAAAACCGGGGACTGGGATAGCGATCAGGATGCGATGAGATTTCCGCCCTGTTGCGGGAGAACACCCGTAAGAGCTAGCATTATTCCCTTCGTGAAAAGAGGGCGTCAAATATATAGAGAAGTTGTTTGAATTCTGGTATATTCGCTTCCATTCAAGAGCGCGGAGAGGGACAACCAATTTATTAGAAGTCGGTATCATCTACCAAGCGGAGAAAAAACATATCAATATAAGAATGAGTTGTTAGAAAGAGAGAAGGAAAAGAAATGGTCTTTCAGAGGGCCTGTCGGTGAAAAAAGGAGAGAGGCGGGCAGGAGAAATGGTAACGCGATGAGACATAAGTAATCCTGCACAATCCCGAATTTCAAACTTTTCCTAACGCCGAAGAATTGTGGTGAGCAGGACGAAGTGCAAGGCGCAACAGCTGCATTATTCAAGGATAACAGAGAGGAAGAGAAGAATGTCCACTATGAGCGGGGGGGAGGGGTATATTGGAATGGAAAGTTCAACGGCAGAAGCAAGCCTTGCAATGGGCTAGCCCGGGTCGAAAAAAGGGCCGACCCGGCCCAGCCCAAGCCCAAGGAAGTATAGCCCGGGCTAACCCAACGAGCCCATCGGGCCCCCGCACAGGTGAACAGCTATAAAAGAGATGAATGTAGATCTATTAATACTAGATTAAAATAGAGAATTGACAATGAGAACAGATGGTGCTTGAAATAGGAGATGAACACAACACAGTGAGAAATAGTAGTGATTATTTTCAATAGAAAGAGTGAATTTTATATGGACTGCCAACTTCGGGGGCACTCGGTTGACTCAATTGTTTCAGCATTGAGAGAGTGACGGGAGTCAGAAATAGTCCTCTTGCCTCCTGAGAATACGCTTTCAGGTTCGGAAGACATGGCAGGAATTGATAGGAGGGTAATTGCCCATGCCACAAGTGTTGGGTATTCGCTTTGTTGACGATTCTCCTGCCACCAAGACGAGATCTGAACTTTCAAACCTCCAAACTGCGCGACAATCTGAGAGCACATGAATCCAATATGAATTAGTTCTGCACTAAACATTCTAGATATAGAGATGGTTGGGTTGGATCTTACCGCTTGTAGTAACGCGCTTCCGGAAAGCCATGTGCTCGGACAATCGTTTCCCCGGTGATACGGATTGCAAGACACCATACAAACCTTAAAAATAAGGCTAATCCTTGGCCGGGCCGCCCGGGCTTGTCCCCCCCTCAGCCCGGCCCAGCCCAAGGAAGCC